GAGAGGGGGGAGGGGGGAGGGAGAGAGAGGGAGAGAATATGTCACACCCAGAAAGTCTAATCCTTCCTGGGAGAAAGAACTGGAAAAAATTAACTGTCTTTTTGCAGGCTGGGGTGGAGAGGGTGGACTTTGCTTTCACTCCAACTCTCCCGAGCCTCCTTCAATCTGCTTTCTAAGACGTGAGGATCCCTGTAATTTACCAGCTTTAATGGGCACATTAAGAAAACCATAAACTTAACTTTTTGGTAGGTTGTGGAAGAGATCTGTTTCAATCAGTTGAAACAGAAATCCTGAATTCCCTTTCCAATCGCGTGGGCTGAGACGTCTGCTGGTTCCAAAAAATTCTTGGAAAAACAGGGGAGGGGGGCATGGAAATCCACTACTGGAAAGCATAACTAAAGGGCTAAGTTTGAAAAAATGTAAACAGGAAATTATTGGAGGAGTTAGCAGACATGTGCTCTTTAACATCCATAAAGTACTTTCATCTGCTTTCCTTTGGTTTTAACTTTGGGGGATACTTTCTTTGCATTTTACTGATGTAGGTTTGTTTGAAAAATGAATTTGAATGTAGTCCATTTAAAACAATGGAAAAGCTCTGGGTACCAGTAGCTTATGCTACTCAGGAGGCTGAGATCTGAAGATCACAGTTTGAAGCCAGCTCAGGCAGGAAAGTCCATGAGACTATGATCTCCAAGTAACTACCAAAAATCTGGAAGTGGAGCTATGGCTCAAGTGTAGGGTACTACTCTTACACTCAAAAAAGCTAAAGGATAGTGCTCAGGGCTTCTGTTCAAACCCCAGGCTGGCATAAAAACAAATTAGTCTTTTAGACTAACAACAGTGATTGAGTTCTTCTCTTGACAGTTGCTACAACAAGCAAAATCACCCTCCATTGCCTCTTAAGGTTTGTTGACTTACCCTGGGTAAACAGACTTGCCAGCATGGTTTCTGTCAGTGAGTACTGCCTGCTTCCACTGTAGGGCAGAATTTGAAACAGTTCTTTAAATATCAGAGGTGGCCGCTTCCTGGAAGTCATCTGCCCCATCCTCCCCCCACTTCCAGGTACCCTCCAGGTGGTATCCCCTGGCATCTGGAGTGTGAGTGTCTGTGTGTGTGTGTGTATCAGAAAGGAGAAAGTGAAAGATGATTGGCTGGAACTGAGATCAGTGTTGAAAATGAGTCTGAGCATCAAGGTAATGTTTTGGCACAATGGTTCTGAGCTGCAAGGGATCTGGAGGGGCTATGAGCCCCAGGGGAAATCCTCTAACTTCCTCAGGTCCTGTAGGAGCTGAGCATGAAGTGGAACTTAGTAATTGCTAGCAAATATCAGGATGATTCCTAGCATGGAGATGAGACTGAACTCTAAAGACTGAAGTGCTCTTGCAAACAGGTCGTGTTGGAATGCCAGGAGAAGTCCTGCAGTGGGCATGGACGGTCACTGCATCTGTGCTGAGCCCAGCCTAGATTTTCCATGTGTGAAAGATACAAAAATGTCCACTTTTAAAACGCCACTCAATAAAATATTATCAATTTGATATTTCTCATGGAAAAGGCTATTCCAAATCAAGTCTTCACTTTTAAATTAATGTCTATCCTTTGGAGCTAGTGGGGCTTATGACTTCAGGATATGAGTTAGATTACAGGTGTTACACTTTATCCCCTGGACTTCCCCCACAATGAAGCTGAGGATGTTTGGTGGAAACATCCAATCTCTTCCTTGAAAGCATATGCTGAAGTCTGTCTCAAACTGAGCATTTACAAACAGCAAAAGTCAATATTTTATGATACCTAGAGTTGCAGGAGGCTGGCATCTTTCCCTCTGAGTCAGCACCTCATCATACCCTGAGCCTAAAACAAGGAGCAGAATACCAAGTGAAACAATCTGCTTGGAATTCTCCAGGAGACAAATGCAAATACAGCAGGATTTTGACCAAATAGAGGATCATGTTTTTAAAAAAATTTGGACTGTCAAATATCAGCCCAACAGAGGATCTTCAGAAAGTTCACATTCAAGGCAACATTCTGAGATGGCAGGAAGGGAGGCACTCTAGCTTTTCTCTTTACCCAGAGAACTGTCAGGGTCAGCTTTGTGCTGTCCAAAGAGCAGGACATGGGGGCAGGGGGTGAGTGAAGAAAAGACAGCAGAGAGAAAAAAGGAGCTAGCCCCTGCTTTGGTAATCAAACTCTGGGTTTAATAGAGAGGATTAGGAAATTTTCTGGGATGCCTTAGAAGAATAAGACCCGTGTAATTATTGGACAAACCTTGAGATGGAAAGAAGAAGCTGCTACTTGCATAAGTGAAATTAAATTTTCTGGCACTGCTTGTCTCAGTGATGACTTCCACCTGCTAGCTCCTGTGACAGTGCAACCTTTCAGTACTGGGAATGATGCTAGCCACCAGATACACTGCTCAGTGTATGTCAGGCACTGTTCTAAACACAGATCCCACCTCATTCATTCCTCAGAACAAGCTTATTAGGTAGAGACTATTACCCCTGTTTTGCATGTGAGGAAATCTGAGGCCTGGAGAGGCTAAGGGAATTGCTAGGGGTTGCATAGCTAAATAGTAGATGTTAATGGGATTTCTCCTTAGAATTCCAAGACACCATAGTGCCTAGGGTCAGGCTCTGCCAGGGTCCATGCATAGTTTCTGATTTGGAAAGCTATGGCTCTGGTTCCTGCGTTGTTCCAGGTCTATCATCTAACTCTTAGTGTCTTTAAGGTTGCTGCATGTTAAACACAGAGCTGTATTTGTTTGCGTTGTGCTGAAACATGCTCAGAGAGAAGGCATGGTGAGGGTAGGGTTAAAACCTGAGAGCTGCTGAGCCGCCCTGGGGGAAGGAGGAGCTGAAAGGGAGCAGGGAGCTTTGTGGGGCTCTGGGGATTAGCGCAGTTAAGACAAGAAGCAGGAAAAGCAGAGTGTGAGGCCAAGGGATGTGGTGAGTGGCTTCAGGTGTGGGAACCAGGGAGGGAGACAGAATGGCCTGGGTCAGGTGGAGCCGCTGAGGGCAAGCCCTGCTAAGCATGAATCCCAAGGACCAAATGACCTCAGGGGGACTCAGACACACAGACAGACCACAGACCGACCAGACACAGAGACACACATATACACACACCTTCCAGTGCATTCATGCATGCACACATTCACACACATACCAAAAAAAAAAAAAAAACAACCCACACACATTCTCAAAAAAATACAGGAACAAAAATCCAAACAGGCAGAGAGCGGGTAAATGGAACATCCTTTCTTTCTACCATTCCAAACCCCAAGAAGCCAGAAGAGGGAAGGTCTTGGCTGGGATGAGCTCAGTCCCATAAAGAAACAATGTGGCTTGCAGTTTGCACCTCCCTCAGCGGTTGGCAGAGAAAGGTGTGGAAAGGTGTGGGGCTGTTGTTTGGGTGGATCTGCACAATCCCAACGCCTAGGCTGCCCACTGCGCTTTGGATTTGAGTGATCACAGCTGGCATTTCTAGAACCTATATCATGTTTTAATATCTGCAATGTCTTGGGCCTCTTTATTTTGGCTTGGTTATTTCTTTGTTATGTCTACTTTAAGCTTATTGTTCCCTATGTGCTTTTGCATTAAGGTTTGCAAGGCCCTAATCTGGCTGCTCCGTGTCTGCTGACTCCCATTCCTGAAGGAATGGGCACTAAGGGAAGAACGTGGCATGGCCAATCCCACTGCCAAGTTACAGTCACATGCTCCAGTGTCCAGTACTTTGCCAGTACAACCTGTCTTAACATCACAAATTAGGCTTTGGGAGCAGAGGGAGCAGGGAGGAGAGCTCATGACTGAACCTCAGGGTGACCAACAGCTGGGGATGGGGAAAGCCTGGCATCAGGGATCAGCTTCCAAGAATTGCATGAGGCACCAAAACCTCAGGAAGGGTGTAAGCCAGCAAACCAGCCAGGCCACACCAGTAACTAGGAAAAGACAACTGAAGGGCAGAAGTGATTGTTAGTGAGAAAGAACAGGCAAGTGGATGGGACTTTATTAAAAGTCAGAGAACCGCCAGGTTCCAGGGATGGCAGGACTAGCTCACCTTATTGAAACTTTTTGTGTTCTGTTTTAGCTTCAACTTCCAACCCAATGGCTGGACAGGAGCCCCCCAAAAGCCTGATAGGAAATCCCTGCCTAATAGGAAAAGCCTGCATTAGGAAATCCCACTGGCAGACATAGCTTTGGACTTTCATTCTTCTACAATTTAAAAACAAATTTTCTGGGCCCTCGGGATTTCCTTGAATTCTTGAGATTTCTTCATTACTTAACAGGTTGATTTCTTGTATTTCACCCAGTGTTTCTATGGTTCTGCATTAGGAGAATTTTCAAGTTCCCAAGTATATCAGATTACTGGAAATGTTGATTTTTTTTCTCCCTACCATTCTGGAGAGTAATTTGGAAATATTTAGTACACAGATAATGTTCTAAGTGTATAATTCTAACACCTTACTCCAAGTACACTCACAAATGTGCAGCAAAGAGACACAGCAAATAATGTTAATTGCAGAAATGTTTGGAAAAAATGGAGAAACAAATGAAGCAAGTTAAATATTCATTAACAGAAGAAGAAAACTCATGCAGTAATAAGATTATACATGGCAGTTCAAATGAATTAACTAGAGCTACATGTATCCAAAGGTGTGACTCTCAAAAGTAATATCAGACCAAAGAGCCAGCTAAAGATTAATGATGCACAAGTTGGGTGTTCCAAGCTACTCAGGGGGCTGAGGCAAGAGGTTCACTTGAGCCCAGGAATTTGGGGCCAGTCTGAGCCACATATCAAGATCTTCGTTTCAAACTATTCACCACCACCCCCAGACAAAATACCCAAAGCAAGACTATGTGAAGAATAACTGCATTTAAAGTTTTAAAAACATCTAAACTATGCTATGGGACACAGACTTGTGAAAAGTAGGGCAATGATACTTATTAAGAGTAAAGGAGAGGGGCTGGGAAGGTGGCTCAGTGGTAGAATGCTTGCCTTGCATGCATGAGGCCCTGGGTTCAATTCCTTAATACCACATAAGCAAAAAGAAAAAAGCCGGAAGTGGTGCTGTGGCTCAAGTAGTAGAGCTCTAGCCTTGAGCTGAAGAGCTGAGGGACAGCACCCAGGCCCAGAGTTCAGGCCCCATGACTGGACCCCCCCAAAAAACAAAAAACAACAACAAAAAAAGAGTAAAGGAGAGAAAGACAAAGGGGTTTGATGGGGACTTCAACTGTATTTCTCTTTGCTAATGCTAGGCTAAAATGGGATACCAGTACACAGAAGGTTGTCAGATGGCCAAAAACACAGATAAGAGTAAGCTACTTGGGAAGTAAAGGTAGAAGGATCAAGGTCTAAAGCTGGTCCAGACAAAAAATCATCTCAACAAACAAGAAAGGTATGATGAGTTGTATCTGTAATCCCAGTTCAGGAGTGGAAGATAAAAGAACCACAGTCCAAAGCCAGCATAGGCAAAAATGTGAATGTTTATCTGAAAAAAATAACCTAAAAAAGCAAAAAAGGCTACAGTTGTAGCTCAAGTGCTTGCCCAACAAGTGCTAAAAGCCCCAAGTTCAAACTCCAGTACTGCTAAATAAATAAAATCAGTAAGGAGTGTTATAATGAATGGAAATTAAAATAATGTCCACTTGGCTATCATTTATTTCTCAACCAACATATAGATTTACTAGAGTTTCATTTGAGAAGCTTTAAAAACATTCTTCTGAGCCTGGGGCCTGTAGCTCAGAGACAGATTGTGTGTTTAGTATGAGCAGGGCCCTGGGTTCCACCCCTCTACCCCCCCCCCATCAAAATAACAACAAAATTGTTAGAGGCCACACCCCAGATTATCTTCAAATAGCTAATGCACAGTATGTGGAAAACATGCAGACAACAGATGTGACTAACCATCAACCATAGCTAAGTTGGTACAATTTATACCAGGACCAGCAGCATCAGCACAATGTGAGAACTTTAGAAATGCCAGCTCTTGGGCCCTCCTTAGACATGCTATGTAAGAAGCTCTGGGAGTCTTTTGGGGCTGTGCTTCTGAAGGTGGTTCCTATGTTTGAAGACTACAGGCTTAAACCTTGAAGCTGCTCTATCAGTGGAACATCATTTGCAGATGCAGGCTGTAAGCCTCAGTGTGCATGTCTCTCACACAGACTTATGAAGAAAGGTGCGACTGCCACTGTCCTTTCTTAATACATCCTAGACAGAATCTTCCAGGGGCTCCGGCCATTGGATTCGGCCTCTAGGCAAGCCTTTGGCTGATCTCTGATTCTTCTCAAGTTCTCTGAGAAGACATACAGAGAACAAGAACAGAAGATGAATTGGGGCATCCCAGGAGAGGGCCAGAAGTGGAAGGGTATGAGGGATTCAACCTTGGCTGGGCCCTGCAGTCATCTGAAGAGCTGAATGAGAAAGGTGTTGAAGCCTGGGCCCTGCGCCACTTAGTGATGTGACACTTTTGAGGTGTGGTCTGAGCATCAGGAGTGTGAGAAGGTGCCCAGATAATATAGAG